GTGAACAGAAGGTCCATTTGCACAGATATGGTGAAGGCCTCTGTCAGGTCCAAAAGGCCCGGGTGGAGCCTTTAAGCTTTCTGTACATGGGCTACAATGGTGGTTTTGGAGGGGTTGAAACTGGTACAGAGGTGAACAGAAGGTCCATTTGCACAGATATGGTGAAGGCCTCTGTCAGGTCCAAAAGGCCCGGGTGGAGCCTTTAAGCTTTCTGTGCATGGGCTACAATTGTGGTTCTGGAGGGGGAGAAACTGGTACAGAGGTGAACAGAAGGTCCATTTGCACAGATATGGTGAAGGCCTCTGTCAGGTCCCAAAGGCCCAGGTGGAGCCTTTAAGCTTTCTGTACATGGGCTACAATGGTGGTTTTGGAGGGGTTGAAACTGGTACAGAGGTGAACAGAAGGTCCATTTGCACAGATATGGTGAAGGCCTCTGTCAGGTCCAAAAGGCCCGGGTGGAGCCTTTAAGCTTTCTGTGCATGGGCTACAATTGTGGTTCTGGAGGGGGAGAAACTGGTACAGAGGTGAACAGAAGGTCCATTTGCACAGATATGGTAAAGGCCTCTGTCAGGTCCCAAAGGCCCAGGTGGAGCCTTTAAGCTTTCTGTGCATGGGCTACAATGGTGATTCTGGAGGGGTTGAAACTGGTACAGAGGTGAACAGAAGGTCCATTTGCACAGATATGGTGAAGTCCTCTGTCAGGTCCCAAAGGCCCGGGTGGAGCCTTTAAGCTTTCTGTGCATGGGCTACAATTGTGGTTCTGGAGGGGGAGAAACTGGTACAGAGCTGAACAGAAGGTCCATTTTAAGGTTTGGGTGTCAATGTGGAGTAGTGGGCATACCTACGCGGGCTGTCCTGGCATGCAGAACACCCTAGGTAATGTCTACATCTGAGCCTTGATGATTGAAAGAACTGAATTTCAATGAAACGGGTGGGCCAGGACTGTCAGGCTGAGTTGTAAAGGGAAGGATGCTGGACGTGCTGCAGCCAGCCAGAAAATGAGGAAAAGGGTATTAGATATAGTATATGTGCTTAAATAATGTCTTTAAATAAATAATGCACATTGAAAAAACATCATCCTTCCCCTTTAAGTACTCCCTTTTCATTGCTGCGCTACTAAAACAGCTAGAAAAAAAAAAAGTTTCCCAACTTGTATGAATGCAGCAGCAAGTCAAGTGAAAAGTACTATTTTCTCTGGAACATTTAGCCTTTTGTCTTCTGAGCTGAAATAATTTCTCTACTTCCAAAATCGTTTGCCTTTTGCTTCGGAGCCTCTGCTCAGACGATTACTGATTCTTGTGAATCCATTTTTACATCTTTAAAGTTATTGCTTCACGGGTATTCCGTTCTTTTCAAACCTTTTTTTTTTTTTTTTTTACGGTTAATGCTAAAGAACAGACATTTATGCTCCCATCAATATGCTTTGTTCTCCTGTTCTGGCCACAGAAAACGGCGCGTCCCTCAGGACGCATTAAAATAAAATAGGTGCGTACACACTTCCATTTTGTTGGAGCTGGTTTCGTGTTAGGAAAAGGTCTGCAAGTTATTTTTGTGACGGCAAATAAAGTTAAATTAATGGACATAAAATTCAGTATAGTTTTGTCTTAAAAAGGCAACTATCGCAAATTTAGTTCAATCAATGAGCTGTGTTTTTAATGTTCCATTCATGTACTCCATAGAAAGTATCAACTTTTAGGTGCATTTTTTCCCCTTATTTATGGGTTTCCATTCCAACATTTCTTTGGCTCAGTAAAGTAGCAGCAACGGGAGTGATGATGTGCTCGTAAGAATCATTGTCTTTGGTTTAAAGTAGTATTGAACCCTCATCGTTTTTAAGTTTAACACATTGAGTGCAATAAATGACAACAACAAGATAGAAAATAGGGGCTTTCTAGGATGACACATTTGCTAATCACACCAATACCAGCCAGACAATTCTCCAGTGAGCCTCTAGGTCAGATCTTCAATGAACTCCTTGTGACTTGGCTTCAGCAACTTTCAAAAGCAGGTTCCCAGCTCTCCCTGGGATCTCGGTGTTCCTTTCAGAAAGTAGCCCCCCCAGCTAGCACTAAGCTAGAACCTCAATGATCTCCTGCAGGCTGGGTTTTCTCTTCCAGGACACAAACCCTTCTGTTTCAGGCCCCAGATTATTTATACACTCTACAGCCCCCCTACTGGGCATTCTCTTCCCCAGGGATTGGCTGAGGCTGGATAGAGAGAAAACAGGTGGCACACACACCTAGTGCATTATCCAAGGTTTATTGTAGGAGTGAAAGAATAATAAAAACATACTCACAGACGAAGCATGTATCTAGAAAGCATAGAAAAATGACAATGGCCACAACGGCAGGCAAGGTGTGTTCTCACTGTCAGTGCGGTCAAATTCGGGGACGAATCCCTTTCCTCAGAGCTGATGACCAACCTTTGCGTCAGGGATCGCGGCTCCAGGGTCAGGGATCGCGGCTTCTCCTCCCCAGGCATCCAATGACAGCCGGGGCGCGTCCTGGCCGGCCAATGACAGTGCAGGGCGCACTATTTAAAGATGCCCTGCACTGTCACAGATTGCCGCAAGGTCTATCTGTGATCCTGAGTTCCTGTATCCGTTCTAGTGACCCTGATTGCCCTGACTACGCTGCCTTCTCCTGTGATTTGACCTGGATTGCCCTGACTACTCTGCCTTCTCCTATTCTGACCCCCGGCTTGTCTGACCATTCTACGGACCGACTTACCCTGCTGATCCTGCGTGTGACCTGACTACTCTTTGCCCGCCGATTCGGTACCCCCGCTTACCCCCACGGGACCACGGTCCGTTACCACCCTGCTGGGGCCGCCATCCTCTTCACATCTGGCTCTCCCGGTACCTGCATACGTCCCCGGAGGCTTCCTCAGCCACTGGTGGGGCCTGCTCGGAGGTTGTGACCTGGCCCCGGGTCTGTTACAAGTCCATCCCCACCATCAGGGGCCCTGGTGAAAGCACAGCCCGGGCTTAGACCCCACGCTCTGGGTAGGTCTGTCAGTTGGCAGCCTGAGGCACCACCTGACGGATCATAACACTTTGATGCAGATGTAATGATGAATGGAAAGTAGGAGCCTTGCTGTTATTTCCCCGTCTGAGAGGGCTGCACCCCTGAAGCATTTCCTTTGGTTGTCGCTGTCCTGGTACCCTTGGCTCCCATTTTGGCTGTGCATATCCTGAGGCGCTGGAGAGTACATACGATATCCGATTGGCTGAGGCTGCATAAATATTCAGCTCAGGGTCTGCCTCTTCCAGCCCATTACATTCTATAACTCACTAGAAGGCAGGGGAAATAGGTGAGCCTGCAACCAGCAGGGCCCAGAACAGCGAAATATAATTACACTCTACTCTGCTAATTACAGAGCAGTCCAAAAAACTAAATTTACCTTAACCTCACTATCATCCTAATTAGGAGGGTGATACATTTGACAAACTACAAAGACCATTTATATACTTGCACCATAATTAAGTGTCCCATTTAGGCAGGCTGCAGTCAATGGGAACTCCACTTCGTCACTGAAGACCATATCTAGACCATCCATGCAGCAATGCAGAAACGGGATCACTTCTAATACTAGTCTACTATTAGAGGGTGAGGTTGTACAGAGCAGCAAGATCTCATCTCCAGCATGTTCCTATGGAGCCATCTCTAGAAGGATCAGAAGCTGAGGACCTGACCATTTTCAGTCTCTGGGCTTAGTACTGGATGCTGGCTGTCACTGACTACTACCTATTGAAGGGACCCAAGAGTACCATTCAGTGGTGTATTTAGGTTTCATGCTGCCCTAGGCAACTAAAAAATCATCTTTCCCCCCCAGAGAGACTCTGACACTGACCAACACCCCTCTCCCCATGAAGAGAGCATGACAATGACCAACAACGCAACAGCACCCCCAGCACCCCCCCCCCACAAACCCAAGAGAGCCCTCCACTAAAAACCACCCCCCAAAACACCGACAACCCCCTCCACCACCCCAGCGAGAAAGAAGAGACCTTCACAGCTCCAGACATCCGCAGGAAACAAAAGTCAGGCTCTGCATACACCATCAAGCAGCCCCCACGGCCTCTCTCAGAACCCATCTGCTCCCCATGCTGCATGTGTCCCTCCTTCCAACCCTTCTTTCGGAGGGCAGCACTGCCCCCCTGAAAAATGCTGCTGCCCCCCCTGAAAAAAATGCCGCCCTAGGCAAATGCCTTGTGGTAAATACGCCCCTGGTACCATTGAGCATTGCTGTCATTTTAAAACAGCATTAGGACAAACTGATAATTATTATGGGCTTATAGCATACCAATGTAAGAAAATAATTAGGATTTCTTGTCTTGGCGCACCCACCGGCCCGTCTCGCCCGCCCTGCCGGGGAGGTGGAGCCTGAGCGCGCGCGGCAGGACCCAGAAAGATGGTGAACTATGCCTGGGCAGGGCGAAGCCAAAGGAAACTCTGGTGGAGGTCTGCAGCGGTCCTGACGTGCAAATCGGTCGTCCGACCTGGGTATAGGGGCGAAAGACTAATCGAACACCATCTAGTAGCTGGATTTCTTGTCTCACTTACACCACATCTGTCCTCTTGATGGTCTCCATCCATTTTTTAATTACAACAGGAGAGAACTAGACTAGGCTGGGAGGTAAATTACCCCAAGACTGGTACCGATAAGATACGGTGGCCCTAAATGGACATACTTCATCGTTCAGACATCAGTCAGAGTGGGACCCGTAGTCTGTGGCACATGCTATGTGCATATTTGTATCCTTTTTTCGTTAAACATGAACTAAAGATGTGGGAAGTGGTGCCAAAAAAAAGCAAGCAGGGAACAAAGAACTAGCCATCAGTATTGACTGTGGTTTAACTGCAGCTGATCTTTCCCACATTACTCATATCTCCCAACTATCCTTCCTTTGGAGGGCATGCCACTCTTTTGAAATCAAATTCCTCCCTTCCTCTTTCCTCCTCTGTTGTCCCTCTTCTTGGCTGAATATATAGTCCTTTATAAAAACACATTACTTAAAGGAGAAGTACAGCCAAAGCTCTTTTTGGCTGTACTTCTCCTGTGGGTCACAGGAGTTCAGTTCATTCTGCACTCCTGTGACCTGTTTTTTTAGCTGACAGTTGGGATCCACCCAGGGGCGGACTGACCTTTTGGAAACATCGGGCACTGCCCGACCGGGCCCGGGGTCAGTAGGGGGGCCCCATGAAATGCCTCTGGTACCTTTTTCATAGGCTTTTTTGAGTTTGGGCAAGGACACAGGGGCCCCATGATCTCCTATTGCCCAGGGGCTCCATGAGTTGTCAGTCCGCCCCTGGATCCACCCCAGAGTCTGGAGTGGCAATCGGTTCAGCCTCTCAGCAAGTGGCTGAGAGCCTGAGTCAGCTGCTCCCTCCCCCTCCACAGCCCAGCGCTCCAGTGAGTGAGCGGGGGCAGAGCAGACAGTGGTGGTGACCGACAGTCACCGCTCTCTGCTCACAGCAGGGTTGAGAACTCAAGCAATCATCGGTCATGTGATCACTAAGTTCTCATACTTAGAGCCGGTGGGAAACAGATTCAGCATCTAACTAGGTAAGTATGATTGGGGGAAAAAAAGGAAAGTCATACTTCTAGATTTTAACTATCAGAAGTTTTATGCACTCCGGATACATTTTTGATTACAGTTCACACCACACTCAGTTCCGGTGCAGTTTTGATGCAGTTTTCTATGTTCCAGTACAGTTCTGTGCAGAACAAATGCAGCATGTTCTATTTTTTTTCTCTGCACTGGAAACTGACTGGAACTGACTGCACTCATGTGAACTAGGGCCATTAGAATACATGGAAAACACTGTGCATGCATTTTTGTGCAGAAAAAAACACAATGGACTGCATCTGGTGTGAAACTAGCCATACACTGTTAAAAAAAGCTGATATATAAGAAACAAAGTGGTAAAAAAATAATAAATTAAACACAGTTGTTAGTTTCGGCAGTCGATTTTTTATGTATTAAATCCTAATAGTCTGGTATAACTGGGGAGTGGCAAATACACTATATTGCCAAAAGTATTGGGACACCTACCTTTACACACACATGAACTTTAATGGAATCCCAGTTTTAGTCCGTAGGGTTCAATATTGAGTTGGCCCCGCCCTTTGCAGCTAAAACAGCTTCAACTCTTCTGGAAGGCCATCCACAAGGTTTAAGGAGGGTGTCCTATGGGAAGGTTGGACCATTCTTCCAGAAGCACATTTGTGAGGTCAGGCACTGAGGTCGGGGGAGGAGGCCTGGCTCGCAGTCTCCGCTCTAATTCATCCCAAAGGTGTTCTATGGGGTTGAGGTCAGGACTCTGTGCAGGCCAGTCAAGTTCCCAAACTCGCTCATCCATGTCTTTATGGACCTTGCTTTGTGCATTGGTGTGCAGTCATGTTTGGAACAGAAAGGAGCCATCCCCAAACTCTTTCCCACAAAGTTGGGAGCATGAAATTGTCCAAAATGTCTTGGTATGCTGACAACCTTAAGAGTTCCCTTCACTGGAACTAGGGGGCCAAGCCCACCCCTGAAAAAAACCCACACCATAATCCCCCCCTCCACCAAACTCTACACTTGGCACAATGCAGTCAGGCAAGTACCGTTCTCCTGGAAACCGCCAAACCCAGACACGTTCATCGGTATTGCCACACAGAGAAGCGTGATTCATTACTCCAGAGAACACGTCTCCACTGCTCTAGAGTCCAGTGGCAGCATGCTTTACACCACTGCATCTGATGCTTTGCATTGCACTTGGTGAGGTAAGACTTGGATGCAGCTGCTCACCCATGGAAACCCATTCCATGAAGCTCTCTACCCACTGTTGTTGTGCTAATCTGAAGGCCACACAAAGTTTGGAGGTGTTTAGCTATTGACTCTGCAGACAGTTGGCGACTTCTGCGCACTGTGCGCTTCAGCATGCACTGACCCCGCTCTGTCATTTTACGTGGCCTACCACTTGGTGGCTGAGTTGCTGTTGTTCCCAGTTCCTTCCACTTTGTCATAATACCACTAACAGTTGGCCGTGGAAAATTTAGTAGCCAGGAAATGTCATGGATGGATTTATTGCACAGGTGACAACCTATCACGGGACCATGCTTGGAGTCACTGAGCTCCTGAGAGCGACCCATTCTTTCACCAATGTCTGTAGAAGCAGTCTGCATGCCTAGGACGGTACTTTATTTTATACACCTGTGGCCATGGAGGTGATTGGAACACCTGAATCCAATGATTTGGAGGGTTGTCCCAATACTTTTGGCAATATAGTGTATGTTTTCCTTGACATACATACTTTGGCTATAATATGTGTTCCTGGTATGCTGATCTCAAAATCCCTGCCAGGATTTCTAATTCTACGCCCAAAACACTGCCAGGACTATCAAAACTCATACTCTCAGAATCCCTGGCTGAACTTTCAATGGTACTCCCAAAATCCTTGCCAGGACGTGCAAAGTTTGTACTCTCAGAATCCCTTCCAGGACTTCCGATGATACTCCCAGAATCCCTGCCAGTACGTCCAATACTCAAACTGTCAGAATCTCTTACAGGACTTCCAAAACTCATACTTTCAGAATCCCTGCCAAGACATTGAATGATATGTCCAGAAACCCTGCCAGGACTCTCAAAACTCCTACTCTCAGAAATTCTGCCAGGACTTCCACTCAGAATTGCTGCCAGGACTTCCAATGGTATTCACTGCCAGGACTGCCAATAACAACACGTATCCTCTGACCAGAAGGATATTTAGGCTCCAACCTTTGAAGTGGCTGGTGTTGTGTATTATCACTAGCTACTTGAAAGCTAAAGAAATATAATATTTACATGGCAATTACCTGCTTGTTGCTGACACCATATTGAACTGACTACTCTTGCTTGTTGCCTGCCTCAGGCCTTGCCTGGACCTGACTACTCTTGCATTTGCAGCCAAATACAGCAATCCATGAAAACAAAGTCCAGAACAATCACATCATATCACTCTTCTTTATTTAGTCATGAATTCCAAAGGCTAAAAACAATTAAAAACATACCCAGATGATGAGCATTTCTTGTGCAAAGTGCATGGTTTCTCAAGGAACTTGGATCCAACATATCTCTCTCACCTGCACCTCTGTGAACAATCTCAGCACCATAGTCTCTCAGCTCCATCCACCCCCTTGGGAAGACAATCCAAGATGGTCATGACCTGGTGTGAGTTTGCAGCAAATAAGATCGGGACCCCTAAGGTTCCTGGCCCATCTTCACCATTAGGAACTCTAATGATGACCAATTACTACCTAGGGAAGAGCAGTTTTCCACACGTATGGTGAGGCTGCATCACCTGCTGGATGCAGCCGTACAATACGCGCACTGTGAGATTTGTACAGAGTGGATAGAGGGGCTGTAAAAGTCAGTTTTTTCCTGTCTCAGAAATTTGGCAGGTATGCCATTAACCAGGGGTGGTCTGACCATTTGGAAACTAGGGCACTGCCTGAGGGCCCGGGGTCAGTAGGGGGCCCCATGAGATGCCCCTGGTACCTTTTTTCATAGGCTTTTTTGAGTTTGAGCAAGGACACAGGGGCCCCATGATCCCCTATTGCCCCCGGGGGCCCCATGAGTTATCAGTCCGCCCCTGGCCATTACTGACTTGCCATGACATGTTCTGCACTGTTTCTCTGTTCTGAGAAGGTCATTTTGGTAGAGGTGGGGTTTTGCTTCCTCATGCCAGAGCCTCTATCAAGAAGAAGAGTGAGCAGCACAGTATGATATCACCAAATCCTTTCACTCCAAAAATCTTCTGAGAGTAGCAGTCAGAGGCAGCAGTGCCTAAGGCCCCATTCGTTTCCCTGCAGTAACAGTGTACCCACATTTTTTCTCTGTGGGTTTACTAGTGCTTTTCCTCATAGACTTCTATTAGATCAAGCGGTTCAGTTTTTGGTGCAATTTCAGAAAACGTCTGATCTACTAGAAGTCTATGGGAAAGCGCAGGCTAACTGCACAAAAACTGCCGATATACCTGTGCTATGGACACTCCGCAGCAGGTCAGTGTGAAACCAGCTCACACTGCAGATATACAGCTTAGGCTATAGGCAAAGGCGATTCTAGGCACACGTTTACCAAGAACAGTACTGCTATTTTTAGAGAAATTCAAGACAAAAGGCAGATTTATAAGGGGCACAATTACAATTTCTAAATGTTCCCTATAACAATAGCAAAACTTCACTTATTGAGTTCAGTTTAATTTAATGTTGATAGTTTTATGTATAAGAAAATGTCTTTTTTGAGTGAAGAATATCTGGAAGTTTGACAAAGGCATACATTTTACTGTAAAATGTTAGTGCTAAACAACGACCCACTTTCCTATCTTGGAAAACTGAGAAGTATGCATTCTTACCATACATAGAGTATGCTAGATCTATGAGGACGGTCAAGGGGGATTGCAAAAATCTGCAGATAAAGTAGAACACCCCTTGCTATTATAAACAAGGCTGACTTAAAAAAATCCATTTATGCATTCTTCTAGCCATCTTTACATAGCGATGAGTCAGCTAGTAGGCAACAAGCTCTCAGCTGATTTTGCTTAAAATAAACTTCCCTCTAACAAGAGGAATAAACTCCATGAAGGAACAGGTTTATAAGTTGCAGAGATATTGGTGCTTTTCTCAGTTTAAACCCTTTACACGGGTTGCAGTCATGGCCAATGATTTTATGAAGTCTGTAAATTGGGATAAGGTAAACAGGAAACTGGAAAAAAAAAATAAGATTTGTTCACTCCAGTAGCTTTTCACTCCAAACTGCAGCAAGTGCAGTTCTACGATGTAGTAGAATTCCTCTCACTTCCTGTCCTGGGACACAATGGGACCAGGGGACGAACTGACAACTCATGGGGCCCCCGGGCAATAGGGGATCATGGGGTCCCTGTGTCCTTGCCCAAACTCAAAAAAGCCTATGAAAAAGGTACCAGGGGCATCTCTGTCCCTTATCTTATCCAATAACATTGCTGTCCTCCCCAAAATGGCTGCCTGGAGCCCATAATAGGAGGCAATTGGTCCTCAATGGGCTCCTGCCAGCTTGAAGAAGGATATACTGCAAACTCCACCTGCCTACTGCATATTCTGGTGCCGCTCTCAAAATACAATACGCGCACTGGGAGATTTGTACAGAGTGGATAGAGGCGCTGTTAGAAAAAAATCTAACTGTGTATGGCTAGCTTAAGTAGTATTCTGGAGGTGAGGCCACTCCCTGTGGCGTAACATAAGGGGCAGGAGCCGGTGGCGTAAGACGTCTTTTCTAACAGTAGGGCGGAAGGGAACGCTGAAGTTATATGTAAGCAAGACTGAGCAGAAATCCAGGGAACAGTGTTAACCACGTGCCCTCCGCCTCAGGGCGGACTGACAACTCATGGGGCCCCCGGGCAATAGGGGATCATGGGGTCCCTGTGTCCTTGCCCAAACTCAAAAAAGCCTAATGAAAAAGGTACCAGGGGCATCTCATGGGGCCCCCTACTGACCATGAACCAAATGCGATATCTCCTGCGCTCCGGGACCCAGACTGGTGGTAAGTAGATGGAATCAGACTCCAAAAAAGCAAGGAGGGGACCACCGAAATAGTTAAGGTCGTGGCAGCTCCACACCAAGGCTGGGGAAGCCCAAACAGAACTGTGAGGAAGAACAAAAAAGAAAAAAGAAGCGCACCAACCTTGCGCATTACCTCAGTAACCAAAATTTATTAAATAAAAGAATGGTACTCACAAACAGCGAATAAAAACAGGCATGTCAGTCCTCAAAGGGACTTTAAAGGCAAGATGCAAATGCGAATCCCATCATGGAGGAAGCCACTCAGTACAGCTGACGCGTTTTCGAAGGACAAGCCTTCTTCCTCAGAGCTGACTGGACTGAGAATATGTGTTTCCCTTTTATGCCTCCAGACTGAAATAAGGCCCTCCCCAATAGGTTGGGCTGTCCTGGGCAGGGAGGAGGGGCCCGGGTGTCCACAGAATGCAATAAATAATCATCAAGAGTTCATAGAACCATATAGATAATAAACTTCAAAAGTCGGATGAAAAATATATCAGATGTATACACATATATGGAATCAATTAATACAAATAAAATCATTCATAAATACAGCTTATAAATGCATAAATAAACAATAAAATAAAGAAATATAAACAAATAAATAAATATAAATAAAAATTTCACTAATTCATCCCTTCATTAGAAATATATATATATTTCGCCATAATTATCATCATTGCACTAACGATCAAAAATGCATACAATGAGTATAGGATAAAAGAGGAACTCACACAACTGAATGAGCCATTCATGGCCAGTGATTTCAAAATTGTTCCCACAAAGTGGGCATTATAGCCAAAGTATTTTGCTAAAAATGACAGCTGGAAGAAAAAGCTATATTGCTATAAAAATCTAGATGAAAAGAGAAGGTTTTTTTGTGAACATGCATACATGCAATCCACCAGGGGATAACTCTTACAGATGGTGGGGAGGAGAACACAGTATATTCAGAAAAGATTCATATTACCTGTGTTTGTTATTTGGTGGTGTGTGTGTTGTTTATTTGGCAGCAGAGGGAGATATTGCTTGCATGATGTGGTTGCAGATGGAATCTGCCTGTGAAAACGCACGCCGATGCGGCGTGGTAGTTACTGCGCATGCGCGGACCAACCCGCGCATGCGCACTAGGACAGTAGCAGCGCGAACCCAATGGCTCGTATCCACAAGCCATTGCGCGCGCACATAGGCAGCGCTGTCACATCGCCACAGGGTCCTAGTTTCCTCCGACCCCCACTTACTGCTGCCCGATCTAATACACACCCAACAGGTCGGATGTGTATGTATGTGTGTCTCCAAGCTCAATGGATCGTTGGTACAGATGTCAACCCCCATAGCTGCAATCACACCATCAGAACTTCTATAAAGAGAGTATTTTTCTAAAACATATACATGTATATCTTCCAGTGTACCCACGTTATTACCCAGGACTCAAGGGAATTGTCCAAATACACCTAGACAGTACACTGGGAATAATAATCCAGCTCCCAACTTCAATGATTTCTCTAATGCCCAGCGTCAAAAGGGTCCTAAACAGGTCTATCACCAACCCAATACTAAACATCATAACACCTACACTGATAATAAGAACTATCACTCTAATAATAAGAATCACCATTCTAATAACAAAAATCACCATTTTCAAAAAAGGGGCCCACTACTAATTATAATCCTAGACCCACTCATCATAAAACGACTCTGTCACACAATAATCATTCTAGGGGTCCAGCTGGGACATCTACAGGGTATCCTATAGGCTCTAATTCCAGAGGGCCCTTGGTGCATAAAAACACATCATTGAGACCCCTGTCTCCTTACAACTATAGGGTTGACCAAATCTTTCAAGCTCACACCAAGATACCATTGCTACGATTGTTGACACCTCCACTGGCCCCAGTTATTATCCAATTCAAAAAGGACAACTAGATACTGAAGGGCGAGGCAATACACATTCAGACCGTAATCAACTTAATTTTTTTAAGGGAGGGGGCTGCGATTCGTCCAACATCCGCAGCCCCATCAGACCAGTTAACTACAATAATCCCAGAAAGGAAAAAGAGGGAAAGCGTACGAGACGAGGAAAGAGAGGAGGAAAGGGACACAAAAAGAGGAAGGAGACAATTATAGAAGCTCCCCTCCCCACTATTAAAATTTATAATTTATCACAATCAACCTTCTCGGATTCTGAACTCGAACTCCTGAAAAAAGGTCTGAATTTTGCCCTTCCCAATCCACCCAATCTGTTTGATCTTTTTATAGATCTGAATAAATTTATTAGAAACCTGACAGTTAAGCGGTTCTTTCTGTTAAAAGTGAACACGCCTAGTGAGAAGGAAAACTATTTACATCTCTCCCCAGATTCCTCCTTAACGGAGATGTCATTGGAAACACCTATGCTAGACATCTTAGAAAATCTATATACAGAGGGTGCATCTATGGACAATACATCCGAGCATCTCAACCTTACTGAAATGGCACTTGGGTCTCAGGGTGAAATCATGCACACCAGCTTCAAACCTAAATCTACTTTTTATCCCCACTGGGTCAAAGGTCATCATTTACCTACTTTTTATGAATCAGTTCTTGCAGAATTCAAGAAAATTTGTAATACTAGTGCATCTACACAGAAACAGTATCTACTACAGGACCCACTTAAAGCCTCCCTCAAAAGCCATGAAAGAAAATAAAAATGTAATTATTAGACAAGCTGATAAAGGTGGTGGTCTGGTTATTCAAGACAGAGCCACCTACATCGGCGAGGCCTTAAGACTTCTGAATGATCGTCAGACCTATGAGGTCCTCTCCATTGATCCCACTGCCCAGTACCAAGCAAAATTTAAACTATTGCTGGAAATGGCACTGTCAGATGGTGTAACTCACTAAAGAGGAATTCCTCTTTTTATACATCAAACATCCTGCCACTCCATTTTTTTATCATATTCCAAAAATTCATAAAAATAAAGATAACCCTCCCGGCAGACCCATTATCTCTGGCATAGGCAGCATGACAAGTAATTTAGGTAGCTATATTGACCACTTCTTAAAAGACATAGTCATGAGTCTTTCATCATT